TTTCTTTATAAATTACCCAGCCTCGGGTAGTTCTTTATAGCAGTGTGGGAACGGACTGATACACTTGGGTTAGGCAGTGGTTTCCTAGATGTGACATCAAAGATAACACCAAAAACACAAGGATGAAAAGAAAAATCAGATAAGATGAACTCCATCAAAATTAAAAATTTTTGTGCCTCAAAGGACACCATCAAGAAAGTAAAATGACAAACCACAGAATGAGAGAAAACATTTGCAAATCATAAACCTGATAAGGAATTTGTATACAGAATAAATAAAGCCCTTTCAACTCTGCAATAAATAACAACCCAATTAAAAAATACAGGAAAAGTATTTGAATGGACATTTCTGCAGAGATCACATAACAAATGGCCAATAAGCACATGAAAAGGCGTTCTACATCATTAATCATTAGGGGATGCAAATCAAAACCACAATGAGACTCCACTTTACACTCACTGGGATGACGAAAATAAAAAGGAGAAACAAAATCAAATGTTGCCAAGGATGTGGAGAATTGAAACTCTCATACATTGCTGGTTGGATTATCGAATGGTATAGTCACTTCAAAAAATAGTCTAGATATATACTCCTAGGTATATATCCAAGAGAAATGAAAACATGTCCTCACAAGATTATACACAAATGTTTACAGTAGCATTGTTAATAATAACCAAAAAGTGGAAAACACTCAAATGCCCGTCAACTGATGAATAAAATGTGGAATATCTAGACAATGGATTATTATGGATGAATCTTGAAAACATCATGTTAACTGAAGGAAGTCAATCACAACCACATATTGTATGATTCCATTTACATAAAGTGTCCAGAACAGGCAACTCTACAGAGATAGAAAGTAAATCAGTAGATGCCAGTAGCTGGGGGAAGGAAGGGATAGGGAGTGACTGCTTATGGGTATTGGGTGTCGATGGGGTGATAAAATGTCCTGGAATTAATGGTGATGGTTGTATAACTCTGACTAGATTAAAAGTCAGTTGTATACTTTAGAAGTGTGAATTTTATCCTATGTGAATTATATCTCAATAAAGCTGTTAGGGGAAGAAAACCAAAACTTTCCAATGGCTTCCTAAATTTTCCAATGTGCTCTTGCCCCCACCTCCTCTCTGACCTCGTCAAATGTATTGTTAAATACATATTATGGGTCTACTATGTGCTAAGTGCTTTTTAGGCATTTGGGGTATGTCAGTGAACAGACAAGAATCCCCCCCGCAATGGAGATTATTTTCTAGGAGACAGATGGGACATAAATGACACATATAATAAATAAGTTAATATGGTAGAAGGTGATAGGGACACAGAAAAACATAAAGCAAAGTAAGGGGAATCAGGAGTGCCAGTGTTAGGATGAGATACAGATTCTATTTTAAATAGGGTGGTCAGAATAGCCCTGATGCAGCCCTTCTCTAGGCTTCAGCTACACTCCTTTCTGTCCCTCAAATATGGCAAACTCATTCTCTCTTTAGGGGTTTTGGCTAACTCATGACTGGTTCCTTTGTGTCATTCAGATTTCAGCTTTAAAAGGTCCACAGAGGCCTTCCCTTGATTATCCAGTCTAAGGTAGCTACCCAGTCACTTGCATCATCTCTCTGTTGATTTCTTTTATATCACTTATTCATTGAATTAACTCATTCAACAAATGCAAATGCTTGCCACATTCTAAGCATTTCTAGGGATATAGCAATGAACAAGAATCAAAATTCCTGCCCTTATGTAAC